CCGCGGAGGGACAGCTGCAGCTCACCTGAGCCCAGAGCTCTGGCTGTGTGCGGACACAGACTCGTCCCGCTCACCCTCTGAGTCTCCAGCCAGGACAGACAGGCTGACGCCAGACACAGGGAAGCAGGAAAGAAGAAAGGAGAAAGGATGTGAAGACAGCGTCAGTGGCACATTTACATTTGTTCTTCTACAGGAGCCTTGGCGATATGCTCCACTCCCCTAAGATCAGTCTGCATCTCTCCCCAACACCAAACCAACTTTCACATTCAAATGATTTGTATAGCACCAAATCACAGCCAAAGTCATCTCAGGACACTTTACTAAATAAGGTCTAGACCTTACTGTCCTCACTATTCTTATAGAGGAAAACCCAACAAATCCCTCTTCAGCAAGCAAAAAGTCCAAAAGTGTCCCCACTTTGTCAAAGCAGCACTGCTTTCTACAAACATCCTTTCTTTCACCTTCCCCTGTGATAAAATCTGTATGTTTACACCATCACATGGAAAAAAACACTTTCTAAAACGTCTTCACTTTAGAGACGTTCCTCACCCTTGATAAAATATGAAGCAAATACTTCCTCATGTTATAGTAAAACAAGGCAGTGAAGCAAACGGCGTCCCCCTCACATCAACAGCAGGCACACATCTGGATTCTTCTTAGTGTTGTTACAGGTTTCAAACAGCAGTTAGTGAGTTAATGAATCAAGCAGCTCACTCTGTTATTAAAGGAAAGGCTGGTGGTTTTCTATGTGTTAGTGAGCTCCAACAACGAAGCTGGTGGAGCAGTGTGACCAGACCAGAGACCAGAGACTCTGTACAGTGGTGCTGCCCTCAGCCTGTGGAGCTGGTTGTTGGAAACAGACGACCTCCCATGTTTCCTCTGGAGGAAACCTGCCCCTCAGTGCAGCGGTGGGGGGTGGGGGACTTAACAGTGGCGGTCTACGGCACAGAGCGATAAACTGGACCAGGGTCTGGACTCACATCACAGTGAGGACACCTCATTCCCTGGTGCTGCTGGTCTCTGGACTGTACACAATTACACAGACATACAAAACCCGCGGCTCTGTCCTTTAACTGATCTGACTCCGAGTCACACTGAGATCTGAGCCATGTGATTGGACAGCGGACATAGCAAACCATGCAGACTCACTCGTCGAGGCTTTTGCCTCGCCTCATCGGGGAGACAACTGGCCCAGAGAGACTCTCCTCCCTCAGGGGGACAACACTGCAGGGGGATGAGGAGTGGCACACAGGTACAGGAAGACAGGGAGGACAGGTACAAGACAGGTGAGGCCAGGTAAAGAAAGCAGGGCAGACAGGACAAGGAGACACAGTAGATACACATCCAAGAATAAGCAGGGGAATAGAGACAGGCATGCAAGTCCTCTGGGACACAGAAAGGTACCTGGACAGGCGAGACAATCTCAGAGGGACAGAAACCTGAAGAAGGTAGGAATGCACCGACCCAACCTGTCCAACCTGACACTAGGCCTCAGCAAGCATATCAAATATCTGCCTGTTCCACATCACATACTGTCTGTAGCTGTAGCTCCGCTCGGTGCATTGAGCTGCAGATCAAACTCCAATAAAGGCATAAAAGACATTCACGATTCATTAACTCATTAACGTCACCAAAGTTTTACTCATGTTCTGCCCTGTTTGCCTCAGTTTGTCGAGGCTGCTGAGAAGAAGGCTGGGCTGATCCAATCACAGTTTGGCAGCGCTGCACTAACGAGTTCTTAGCTCACGTGTGCTCACCAGCCGTAGGTCTTCTGTGGTTTGGGCAGCGGGTCGTCGAAGAACGAATCTCCGTCATCGAGGTTGTACTCTGCCTCCAGCTCCAGATGACCCTTCTTCAGACCGAAGGAGGTCATCCTTTTGTCGGACACCTGCTGCTGGAAGTCTGCTTTACCCAGAGACATCACACCCTCCGAGTCCTGACCGACAACATGAGAACACAGCAGGTTCAGGTTTAATCTGTGTGAGAGATCCACGACTGTAGTGATTAATAAGGTGCTGATTACAGACGAGCAGGTGGAGGCAACTACTGCTGGTGAAAGCTCCATGATGTTCAAGTCAGTGCAGATCAGCAGTTTTTGCAGCAATAACGACTGTTATAAGGGAGTCTGGATTTACCAGGACCAGTTGAGTAAATTCTTTTCTTAATAACTGTATGATAAACTTTAATTACAGTATTACTACACAAACATGTTCAGTCTGTGGTTTCACAGAAGTCAGTAAATTCTCAAATAAAAGCCAGAATTCAACAAATCCAAGCCGGTGTGGAATCGTCTCCTGGTAGATTCAGTAAAACGTCCATTTCCACAGCACCACCTCCATGAGTCACCGCTCTGCTCCAACACCACCTGTTTCTATTCACTGATTCACTCGCGGTTAAAAGCTGACGCTTCCTGCGGAACTTTCACATTAAAAGCCTCCTGTTTGTTCTGATGATTTAACAGTTTTAATCTTCATCATGAGATGTCACAGGAATGAGACTGTTGAAATGGACATGACACTGAATTCAGCTCCTGAGTGGCGACAGTACAGGTACCGTCACCACACCTGGTCTATACGGGTTCAGACCTGCTTTTATCCGAGCAGATTCAGTACTAACGAAGCTGCTGAGGTGCAGTGACTCTCAGTGCTGCATGCATGTTAAGATCATTGTTAGGAGCTTTGTGATTAAAGCAGACAGGTGAGTTACTGCAGCAGGTGAGGACCATCAGTTTGTCCTGGTTCAGACTTCTGAGGCTGATCTGAGGTCAGGTGAAGACAAAAGCTGGTGATCTGGTCAAAACCTTTTCCCTCCACACAGACTACACTTCTGATTTCAGGGGCAGAGCGTCTGAAAGCAGCAGTACCACATGTGTGAACATCAGTGTTAGCCAGCACAGCTGCAGTGTGTGAGGACAGACATCAAGCTGAGTCCTGGTCTCTGGCCTCTGCTCCTCCTCCTGTTACCTTGGCTGCTGGCTCACTCTGTCCTCTGTGATTCTGGCCTTTATATCTGGGGATCTGTGCACGACAGGGACAGGGCAGCTATAAGCGGCCACGCACTCGACGCTGGGCCAACATCAGCTTCACACCTCACACACTTACACTCACCGTCAGCGTCCAGACACACAGCGAACAACAGCGCCTGCTGCTTCAGGTCAAACAGCGACTACTGGCATCGACAAACATCACATGACTGCGCTGAAGCAGCTGTCCACCAAGTTTACATGTAAGGTCAAGTCAGTTTCTCACTGTAGACACTGAACGTGTACAGAAGGAGTCGCCCTCATGTGACGTATGGAGTTTATTTTTTTAACTCTGAGCAGCTCTACACTTTAACCAGAAGTCACTGCAGCGACCTCGACTCTCATCATGCACACGGAACTTTTTAAAGTCTTAGGAGACTCGCGGATCGTTTTGGATTTCTAAATCTAAAAGCACCAGAGAAAACATCACATACATTTTAATGTAGCTTTAATTCCCATGATGCACTGCTGCCATTCCTTCCAGCAGGGACTAATGAGGCTCCCCCCACAGGCTGACGTACCTTACTGACAGGGGGAGCGCTGGTCTTCTCCTCAGGGGGGTGAGTCTGAGGGGGGCTGTCGTCAGAGTCCTGAACCACCTGAACAAAGAACACAGCTTCAGACATTAGTCTTTATTTCACCAACATGATGATGAAATAAATGATTACTTTCAGTGCTGATGCCTGCAGGACCAATCCTGGACATGAACCTGCTGCTACTTAACAGTGAGAACTACTAGTGATAGTAGTAGCAGAGATGCAGTCCTAGTAGTAGTACTATTGCTTTCAGTGCTGATAAGGAGCCTGGCTGGACGCCTGCAGGACCAATCCTGGACACGAACCTGCTGCTACTTAACACTGAGAACTACTAGTGATAGTAGCAGCAGAGATGCAGTCCTAGTAGTAGTACTACAACGAGCAGAGCAGCCAAAACTTGTACAAGGACTGGGGACAGTGTTGGTAGGTTTCTTGTGATCAGTGATGAAGACACTAGAAAATGAGTCTCAGAGGAAGGTGGTGCCTGCAGAGTACTAGTAGTAGTACCAGTAGTAGTACTACTTCTTCTTTATGTAGCGTGCAGCAACAGAAATGAGGACACACTGACATCAACAGGAAGCCACAGATCCACATCCTCTGAGACTCTGCAGCTCAGTGACCCCGATCACACCATGAGCAGGATGCACATATGCATAGTAGTAGTACCAGTAGTAGTACTACTGTGTGTTTATGTAGCGTGCAGCAACAGAAATGAGGACACACTGACATCAACAGGAAGCCACAGATCCACATCCTCTGAGACTCTGCAGCTCAGTGACCCCGATCACACCATGAGCAGGATGCACATATGCAGGCGCATGCACACACACGCGCACACGCACACGCACACACAGGCAGCTCACCTTGCGGATGTGTCCACTTCTGTCTCCCTGTCCACAGAACAAGACACCATGAGCACAGACACAGGACAGAAACCAGACACAGGGTCAGGTAGGCTATTATTAACTGGGCTCCTCTGACTGAGCTGCAGCGTCACCGCAGCCCAGGTCTGTTTCCTCTGACACAAAGTGAATCGCATGTCACATCTGGCTGACACCTCATGACCTCAGAATCGGTTGCAGCACCGACCCTACGTCCCTGTCAGCTGAGTCTCACCTCGGTGGGTTTGTCATTGTGTCGGCCTCTCCTGATGAGCTCCAGCAGCACAGGGGAGTTCCTGTTGACCTCCGACTCAGACAGACCCAGCTCTCTGCAGACCTGGTCCCGGCCGTCCAGTCCATTCAGCTGCAAACACAAACAGCCCCCAGGAATCAAACTCACATCAGTACAAAGTAAAAAAAAAATCCTTGTACTCCTCTGCAGTCTGCCTGTGCATGGGCAGAAACACGCTGCTCTCCCCGCTGGAACACGAACACAGATTACAGCAGTGGTGAGTGTTAGACAACAACCCCAGGTCTGATTCTAACATGTGTCAGACACATGTCAGCTGGTGCATTTTGGTGTGCATTAGCCCATATTTCTCAAAGCTTTACTTGTACCTCTCCACTTGAGCCTGGAACTGGGCTTTTATGCCACTTCTCAGCCTCTTTAAACTGAGTTCTGGTCCCATCCTCCTGTTCATACTCTCTCTGACCTCAGACGTATCGCTGACATTCACCGACACTGGTACGACCGCAGACACTGACAGATCTGGGAGATAAGTGCTACCAACCACTGCAACCACGATACCAGAATTGCTCACTGTAGGTTTATTTTTCCTGTTGTAAAACACAGCATTCGAATGTACCACCAGACAGTGAGGGCAAAAATAGTAGAGGTGATCAATTATTAAGCGATGGTGTGTCTGTGGTGACAACAGTGAGATTAATCTGGAGCTCAAACCTGAAACATGGAGCATGATCATCAGGAACACAGAGGACCAGCAACGCCACACGGTGCTGTGTGCAGCTGTGTCCTACAGTAACGAAGACAGAGTGAAACAGGAAGTGTACGAGAGGTCCTCGGTGTGTTTTTGAAGCTGTCCGTGTTCCTCTGGCTCGACCACACACACAGTGCCACCCAGGAGGAGGATGACATTGTGTGGTTGAAGTTTCACAGCCACAAACCACAGAGATGACACTGAGTCACTGTGGTCACACATCACACAACCCTCAGCAGTGTGTGTGTGTGTGTGTGTGTCAGCTCAGACTCACCGAGTTGATCTCGGGCTGAAACACGGCCAGGGTGAAGTCCAGGTTAAACACCTGCAGGAAGTCCAGGATCAGACTGGCCACCAGACGACCTGCATGAACAGAGATGGCATCAGGGTGAGGCGGCGCTGCACAGTCGCACTGTCACCTTTGACTATTTAGAGAAACAGCAGAGCCCCCCGTATATGAAAAGTACTGACACTTCACTCACATCAATGTTTTCATCATTTGTTGTCCTTTAAACTTTTACTTTTCTTCTGCAGCGACAGACCATTGATTAATCTATCTGATAATTTTCACAATAAATCAATTCATCGTTTGGTCTATCACACAGGTGTGTGTCAGAGACATGTACCTGTGTTGAGATGATTGCAAACTCACTCGCTTCAAATCTCACTGGAGGACAATAAGGTCATCTGAAGTTTACTGTCACGTGGATGCGAAACAGAAAGTCCTCACAAGTGCTGAGCTCAAACATGTGAATGTTTTGCAGTTATCAGGCCTGTTGCCAGTTAACCTTCTGCTGACCGACTGATTGTGTAACACACAGTGGAAGGAAAGTGGTCCGCACAGTAAAAACCATCTTTTGAAGTTCACATTTGCAGGATTTGTTCCCTTCAGTAACACAGTAAAGTGTAGTACACTTGCTCTTCCTGCTGCTTAAAGTCAGTCACACACAGCGTTTCCAGTCATGTAGTTCTGTGGCCAGCACCAGAGGACGCTGTCTGCGAGGTGGAAACAGTTACGTATGGACACAGAGGGGCTCTGTGGGTGACACATGGTTCTAGACAGTTACGCATGGACACAGGGGGGCTCTGTGGGTGACACATGGTTCTAGTCAAACAACTCCAAAACCCTCTGAACTCCATATTATCTGACAAATACCACAGAAGACCCTGGTCTGGATCGTCCAACTCTTTACTGCTGCAGTGCCAGTGGCACCACAGCGCCACCCTGTGCTGACAAACATGGGTTGCAGATCACCAGTCAGACTGATGCTCAACACAGGGAGACCAGCTGCACAGAGTGAAACCAAACAGGATGGAGATAAGGTCACATGACAAACATAAAAGAGAGAAACCAGCTCACCGTCTTTGGTGCTGAGGCACTTCTTCATATTTTCATTGATCAGAGGAGTTTTGTTCTGAGCATTAAAGGAGAAGAGTGTAATTTAAAGAAACACAACAGCAGCTCCCAGGAGCTAAAGTTAATGCTGTGAACTGTAAATACTGACTGTCACCTCCACTTTGTCCTGCTCCTCCATGGCCAGAAACACAGCAGCTCTCATCTCCGCCTGCAGAGACAAACGGGAGCTTTGATCAGCAGCTGCAGCCTGTGACTGAGTTTTAATCCAGAGCCTTTACCTGTTCACACATGGTGTCCATGTTTAGTTTTACTCTGATTACAGATGCATCGATTTGTCGAAGAGTCTTTGATGAATGTGGAGATTCAGTGACAATAGTAATAAGTGTTGTCGTCTATCAAAACATTTCTGAAAGAATCTTCTTCCAGGAACAAGTCACCCTGTGATTCTCTGAACCAATGATCTGCAGCTCTTTTGACAACGTGATAATTCATTTGTTGAACAAAAACAGTGAGAAAACGCTAAAAGTTCTCCAGACCAGCTTCTCACATGGGAGGATTCACAGTCACTGTAAACTTAGCTTGTAAAATATCTTTGAGATATTTGTTTTTACAACCTCAACTAGGTGTGACATCACGTGACTTTGAACGATTTTTTTTTTACCAGCCATATTCTTGCAGTTTATAGACAAATGAATACTTTCTCAATAAAGAAAACAAGGACGATGAACATGTTTAGTGCAGCCCAAGTTCTAAGAAACAGGCTAAACATCCTGATCATGTTTCATCCATGTTTGACGGTCCAACTGTTAACTCCCAAAAACATATGCGTATTCACGACACTGTTTGAAAGCCCATTTACAGTTTCGGTGCTAAAGTCGCATTAAAAACCTGAACCGACCACCGTGAATGCGACAGTTCCCCATAGGACTCGAGCATTACCGACTATAGCTTTGATGCTAGTTAGCCTAGCATCGCTAGCCGGTTAAACAGTTGTGTATCGACATTAAAACGAGTATTCGGGACCTTGAGCTTGTTGAGGACTCCGCTGTTCTCCAGGTTCTGGATGAGCAGATCCCTCAACTCGGTGTCGTCCTCTGCAGCCGACATGTTTCTGTGAAGCTACCTGCTACATTCAAAACTACAAAATAATATACGAAAGTGTTTGTTCTTCTTCTACTACCATTTAACATTAGCTCAGAGTGGCGTTGCAGTGGAGCGCCGCCACCTGCTGGGCGAGGTGTGAAAAGCACGGAAATAATTTCAAAGTTTTCAAGTTTCTTATATTCTTCAAAAAGTTAAATCAGCACCATACACTTGTTCTAGAGGTAAAACATAGAAGATATTTTCATGTTGAAGCTTTAGGCCTGAAAAATACATTGATAAACTGCAGTATCAGTTTAACTGTGCCTATTCTTTGTGGATATGTTACAAAAATCACAAACTAATCTCTAAGTTCTCTTTACCTTTGTAGACTTTGTTAGTGTTTTTACCATTTTTATATAATAACTGCAACATTTACATCACATTACAGCCAATACAAACAACACATAGCCTCCAATGTTATGATTGATTAACGTATTGAAGACACTTATTTATTTGTTTATTTTACAGGAACACATGCAGCTAAACATTGTCATGCACAGGCAACCGATAGGGTGTCGAGCTAAAAGCTACTGTGCAGCTGCTGTCCTTGGTTAGGCTTTTAAGATTGGTTCAAACATAACAAATTGCTTAATAGAGAAAATGAACTTCAACCACCAGAACAAATAAAACCAAGCGTGTAACAAACCGCTGTTCAAAGTTCACATCTTTGTTGTAATGATAATAATAAGAACAATCACACAGGAGGTGTCTTACAAGGCCCCAAGCGCTTCAGTTTAGCTGTGACTTAGTGTTGCTCAGAAATTCAATTAACACATTTACAGTAAATTCAATTACCACATTATAATGCACAACCTGGAGTCTCTGGTGCCCCAAACCCTGAGGGACGAGGTCTGGAAGGGTTTCCCCAGACCCTTAGGAAGCGGGGGGTGGGGGTGGAAATGACAGGGAGGGTGGAGGAAAGGAAGAAGCAAGGCAGGAGGAAGGCGGATAGAAAGAAGAAGGTAGAGAGGCCAAAAACACCATGTAGAAATAAAAAACGCGTTACAGTCTGAGAAAGCAGCTGATGTGTGTGTGTGTGTGTGTATGGGGGTGGGGGGGTCTGTTGTCTCATAATCTGCCCATTAACAAACATATCTTGGGGAGATGAGGTGGGCAAAGAAGGACAGAAAAGGAGAGGAACCGCAGGAGATGCAAGGAATGAGGATGGAGGGTGAGGAGGAGAAAGAGAAAGACTGAGGAAAACGGGGGAGGAGGGGGAGGAGAGACAAAAGGATGGGATTAATAAGAGAAGGGAAGAGATAGGAGAGGAATGAAAGGGGGAGGGGGGCAGCAGAGAGA